AGGAAAAAAAAAGAAACAAACCAAACCACCAGCTTTCATTGCAAGGCATGCCCTTCTATAGGTGTCTGAGAAGAAATAAAGATGGTGATTTCCCAGCAAGTCCTGCACAAAGCTACGTTAAAATTCTGCAGCTAAGGGAGTTAATGAAAGGCACTACCAGCACAGGTAGCCACATGGGTGATCGTGTGCTCAGTTAAGCTATCATGACAGTAAGGATAAACTATAATACAGAGAGTTAGGAAGGAAGCAGTTGCTAAAAGAATTTAGTGCAACAACAAAATCCAACAACCCCCAAACCCAACTGAAGCGCTGCCCTGCCGTCACCTGGAAGGAAGTGATTCTGAATTGCGCAATACAGGCCATGCTGTAAAAAGACTGCAGTCATTCATTTGCTTTCGTTTCACAACGAAGCACAGAAGGGAAGGACTGAAAAGAAAACCTATTCTCTTCACTTTTTAGCAAGTGAGATATTTAGCTTCTTGTGATGACAAGAAGTTGGGTGCCAACATACAAACTACCCACTGCTCATTTTACAGAATGTTTGTTGTAGTCAAGAACCACTCAGTGATTATCACCCAACCCAGAAGACCAGAAAATAAAGAAAAATGACCCTCAGTTTCTAAACAGGGAGAAAATTATATATCGTGTGAGGTATAACACCTTTACAGCCTTGTCAGATGAGCTGATATCCTGCTACTTTCCATGTACTCATGGCCCTCTAGAAAAGCTTCTTTCTGCTACTTCTGCAGCAGGCACACCATTAAAATGGGGGAAGTATCACTGAACATTATGGATATTATGGCATTAGCAAAACTAACAAGGCACTATTCACATGGTAAGCACTCTTATACTGCCTTTTACAAACAAAAAAGTTCAAAATGGACTCCAAAGCCTTCCTCAAAATTCAACTATAACACACACACGGAAGGCTAATCTGCCTTCAAAGAGCCTACCTGATCCACCAGCAGTGACCCACTTGAGGGGCAAAATACTTGTGCTGTATCCCCCTCCTAAACACAGCTTAAAAACCAGCGTGCCCAGGGGAGACTCTAGGGGATTTACAACTCTTCCTTCCTTACCTGGTAGAATCCTGGAGTAAACACTGTGTGGTCTTTACATTTGGAGATATATACCAAATTACATCTTTCACTGACCTGCCACCCCTCAAGAAGCAACATCTAAAGCACAACAGCCACGTCAATTTGAAATAAGAATTGAGATTTGGACTTGGGCAGGAGCAGGCAGAGGCGGGCATCCTTAGAGTTTAGCTAGAGCCTGGTGGATCCCCCTGCATGTGTCTCCATCCTTATGTGGTAGATGTGAAGACCCCAAACCGCTCACTTATGTTTTCCTGCTATAGGAAGCAGCATTTCCCTCAAAATTGCCAAGTATTTTCTTCTCACCTACCTGCTCCTGGAAGGGCGCACAGTTTCAGCGAACAACTTCTGGTCCTGGTAACAATGATTTGTTATCGACTTTCTCAAAAAACCCCTGGCACATGTATAAGATTACTTCAAGCCCATGCCAATGAATTCTATATTTTTTCTTGTCCTGATCATTCTGTGTTACATATTAGACAACGCACTTATATATCTGGGTATGTAAGGAGGAACCCCAGGGTCTCTCTCTGATGGGGAAGACCTAAAACTGGAGGTGGATCTCAGGTCTCTCCTTTAGCAACTGTATGTGCCTTCAGCTTCGAAGAAAGAAAACTATTCCATTAATTTCCTTCCTGAAATAGCCTCCTTGCAGCACTTTGAGGGGAGGGGAAAAAACATAAAATAATTAAAATGTTTCTTTTTCCATGTAACTGCTGCAAGACACACACAGAATAATTAAAAAAAAAACAGCTGAAATTGAAGTCCCTCCTTAAGTTTTTCATAGGCGCAAAGGAAAAGTTATTGGGAAAGAGGGGGCTGGGGAGGAGGAAGGGGAGGCAAGAGAGAGGAGGGAGGGAAGCAGGGGGCAGTTGCAGGTGACGGGGGGCAGTCAGGGGACTTGGTGGAGTCACTGTGTGGTCTTTACATTTGGAGATATATACCAAATTACATCTTTCACTGACCTGCCACCCCTCAAGAAGCAACATCTAAAGCACAACAGCCATGTCAATTTGAAATAAGAATTGAGATTTGGACTTGGGCAGGAGCAGGCAGAGGCGGGCATCCTTAGAGTTTAGCTAGAGCCTGGTGGATCCCCCTGCATGTGTCTCCATCCTTATGTGGTAGATGTGAAGACCCCAAACCGCTCACTTATGTTTTCCTGCTATAGGAAGCAGCATTTCCCTCAAAATTGCCAAGTATTTTCTTCTCACCTACCTGCTCCTGGAAGGGCGCACAGTTTCAGCGAACAACTTCTGGTCCTGGTAACAATGATTTGTTATCGACTTTCTCAAAAAACCCCTGGCACATGTATAAGATTACTTCAAGCCCATGCCAATGAATTCTATATTTTTTCTTGTCCTGATCATTCTGTGTTACATATTAGACAACGCACTTATATATCTGGGTATGTAAGGAGGAACCCCAGGGTCTCTCTCTGATGGGGAAGACCTAAAACTGGAGGTGGATCTCAGGTCTCTCCTTTAGCAACTGTATGTGCCTTCAGCTTCGAAGAAAGAAAACTATTCCATTAATTTCCTTCCTGAAATAGCCTCCTTGCAGCACTTTGAGGGGAGGGGAAAAAACATAAAATAATTAAAATGTTTCTTTTTCCATGTAACTGCTGCAAGACACACACAGAATAATTAAAAAAAAAAACAGCTGAAATTGAAGTCCTTCGTACATTTTTTAACTACCTAAAAGAAACATTAATTTCAGTAATTTTAAACTTTTTTTTTTTTTACTAGGAGTCAGAAGCAAGATTGTGGGAGAAGAATGGCCACCACATAGAAGCCACAAAACAGAACAGCCTGAATACAAAAGCAAGCAGACCATAGATAGGTAATTGCACCGTCTTTGAGTGAAAAGCATTGCAAATGCTATATAA